CCAGAGAATCTTACTAAATCAACAAAAAATAATGAAGAATTGAAAGAACTGAGAGCTGCGGAAAAAAGCAGAATCCAAGAAGAATTTAAAGTTCAGATGGGATTAAACATCGACAAACCACTTCCAAGTTGCGGTAGTACAAATGACGGTAATACGGCGAGAAGGTTTTTTCGTGATTTTAAAATTACTTCAAAAATAACTGGAATCGACAAGGAGTTGCTTCGAAGAGTTAACACTATTTTAATGGCACTGAATAGTAAACATAAAATTAATGGAAATCGATTTGGGGAATATACATCTGAAATTTCTAAATTACTTGTATCTCTGTATCCATGGAGGGAACTAACACCAACAGTACACAAAGTATTGTGTCATGGTCAAATAATAATTGAATCGAATATTCTTCCACTTGGAGAGTTAACAGAAGAAGCCCAGGAAGCGAGGAATCGAGATTTTAAGCATGTTCAACTATTCAGCTCAAGAAAATGCTCCAGGCAATCACAGAATGAAGATATTTTTAATAGTTTACTTCTATCTTCTGATCCTGTTCTTTCAACTATGCGAAAAAGATGGATTTGTTATGAAACTCTATCATCTCAAAACAAGGAAGATTTAAAGGACTTATATTACCTTCTGGATATGTATACCGATATGACGGATTATTTTATAGAAAATAAGTAGTGTTAGGAATTAACTATATAAGTATGTTGTAAGAATTAATTGTATTATGTTTAAGATAAACAGTTCAAATAAAAAAAGCTATTATACTAGCTGATGATATTGTATTAAATTGTGTTTTATGTTTCGGTGGGCGGGAAAGGTGGTTTGTGTGGGGTGATTTAGGTGTTGTTGTGCGTGGCTCATAATAAAATTATAATTTTTTTATTGTATATACAATGTTATAGTCTTTAATAAAATAATTAACTAAATAATTTTTAAAAATTGTCCAAATATTTTATTCAACACCAAATGTATGTTCTGTCATACTTAATACTAAAATATGAAAAAGATGAAATTAAAGGACACAGGTTTAAATGAACATATTTTTGAATGTAATTGAGATATTGGCTTGAAATTTTTTGTAAAGGGTCGAGAATTTCCATATCTAACTAAAAAATGATATTAAGGGACTAAATTGTTGTAGCTATCTGCGACCCTATTAAAATTTTGATATAAATCATAGTTTTAGAAACTAAACAAATATGTAATATATGACAAAATCTTTATTTATGAACAAAACTCAATGAAATTTTCAACGCTTGTTAAATTTGTCATTTCAAATAAGAAAATGCAAAAAATTGAAAAGGTCAAAGGGCATCCCGCAATTCCTAAAAATAGGAATGAAAATCCCCAAAATGGGATTTTTTACTTTTTTGCCCATAGGGTCCACATTTCTTTCAGGGCTGGGAAAATACTTTTGGAGTAAATAGAAAACATATTGAGGTTTCCAAAACTGCTTTCAGTTTTCTGATCCCAGCTATGGGATTTTAGAACATGTCGCCCAAAGTTGAAGTTTTGATAAAAAAATAGGTCATATTCGGAAGGACGCAGTGGCAACATTTTCAAAAAAATAGGACAAGTTTTTTACGCCAAAGCGTTCTGCGTAAAGAGACCTTTTAGAAAACTATAAAATTGTTATATGTTCTTAAAGAAAATTTTATTTTATTAATAAAAGAGTTAAGACACATTTTTGGCAAAAAACGGCAAAAATCTAAATTTTTTTGAATTTTTAAATTAAAAAACGTATATTTTTGGATCTGTAAATGATATTGATCTGAATTTTTTGTATATTGTTGGAAATTTTGTTGTCTAACTAACAAGAAAAAATTGAGTCCATTTGGTCCAAAATTACGCCCGGTATTCAAAAAAAGGCGGACCAAGGTATTGTAAATTTTGTATCACTAAATTTTTAAATGCCTATAACTCGGATATTATAAGAGATAAGTAGTATGTCCAAGCATGTTTTTTCAAGATCTCGTCGAGCGCTTTCAGAAAATATCTTTGTATTTGGGTGAAAAACAAAAAAATGGCACGAGTTTAAAAATTTTACATGTCGTAGGTACCCTATTTTGAGCCGCCACAGCGCCGTCCCTGAGGCATCTGCAAGGTTCATCTTCAAAACTTAAACTCGAATACTCCTTGGCTATGCTCACGCCAAATTTTATTTCGATCGGATCAGCCGTTTAGAAATGCCAGATTTATTTCCAAAAAATTTCCATTCTGCCCCACTGTGTGGTGTAGGGTATCATATGGTCGGCCAAGCCCGACTATACTTTCTTACTTGTTTTCTTTATAAAATTTATATTTTTTGATGATTTCAAAATTTCAAATATTTGTTTGCAATATTCATAACTTTCATAAAACAATTTATTTTTTTCTTTAAATGATTCCCATTTTGTATGCAGTAAATTATTTTTATTTGGATGTATCAAAGAGAAATAAATATTTACCTGTCGAGAAATAAAAAATATTACTTATTATAATTAAAAAAAATTAAATCTAGGCCAAGCTTTTTTCAGTTGTACTTAAGCTCTTTAGCTCTCTTTGCCACAAACAAAAAGACTTTTGCCAGCTATCAACGATTTCATTCCAATCATCGCTTTCATCATCCAATTCGATTACACTTCGAAGCGTAGAATGATTTTTGTCCTCAGGAATATAATTCATAATTTTTCCTTTTTGATTTCATATTGACGTATTTTGAGTATAGTTTCTCGGAAGGATTTTTAACGCGCCGTGGTATAAAATAGTATTCATAAAAAATTTTAAATTACATTATAAGAGTTTTTAATTGTTGATTGAATTTTAAAAAGTACTTACCTGGACATTTTTTCATTAGGAAAAACTTGACAAATCTCTTCGACTAGATTAGAAAAATTTCTTGGAGACAATGATCTGTTGCAAAATAAGGAGTCTTCAATTATTATATTGATTAACTCATTCCTATTTCAGTCTGTAAGAGTATAGACCTTTTGAAGTATAATATTGCTTTGCCTTTCGCTTAGAAAGTGTTAGAATGTCAATTTAAAAAACTGTAGATATTTTGCCGGTTAAAATATTTTTGTATGAAAATTGCCAATTTAACCTTACTATATAACCACACATTGAGATAATGTTGGTGAGTCTATAAAAATTATTTTTGATACATCTTGTTTCTTCCATGTAAATAACTTTTCACGAAATTCCAAACGAAGGCCCTCCAGAGTAATAATTTCCTTTAAGTCTTCAGTTTTTATATATTGGAGAGATCTGTACGTAATATGCACCTCTAAAATGGAATTAAAAATATGTAAATCCTTCTGTTAAGAACATAACCTCAATTTACATGTTAAACATGCATAAGGTTACATACAACTTACCTTTAAGAAATGGCATTATGATGACCAAATCAAATTTTTTAATAAATTCATTAACAGATAGCTTTCGGCGTCCACCAAAGCCCCGATATCATTTTGTTCCTGATAAATCTCATCATATTTTTCCATTTTTTCACTCAGAGTTTTTTGTGTCATTATATTTATCTATTTCTGCCGTATTTTTGTATTAATAAAATTTTTTGATATTATTTTTTTTTTTTTTGTTTTTTACAAATTTTATTTTAATTTCACTTTAAAAACACATTAATTTTAACAAAAACTTTAAAACTTTTAGAAAATTACTCCGTGTGCAATTTGTAAATGACGCTTAAAAAGAAAATGGCGTTAAATTAGAATTTGTAAAAGTAATAAACTTATTTCAAAATATTTTATTTTTAAATTAAACCTTCGAAAAAGGGTGTGGTCAAATAATAGAAATAAAAATATTTTGGAAAAATATATGGAAAATTATTTGTATCTATAAAACAAAAATTAAAATTTTTAATTCAAATACGTCTCATTTTTACTTCATTGTAATAATAAAAAATATAATCATAATGTAATAAGAAATCAATTTCGTTTTTTAAATGTTTAGCTTGAAAAATCCAAAAAGTGCATTTTTTTATTTAAAAAGGAATTTTTTTATACATATAATAGAATATATGTATATACTTTGTATTTAGTAACGAGTGTTTTTTGAATTTAAGCAATTTATTGGAAAACAGGGTATTATCAGTCTTATATAGCATTATGTAGTTCAGTGACTTAACTCAGTCCATATCATGGAAAAACAAACGGCGCTTGAGGTAATAACTTATTCTAATTGATAAAATTTTCTGTTAACAAAAACCTTACGGTAACATTGCATAATACGGCCACCAAAAGTTTGACATTTAAGGGAAGTTTATTAAAAACTTCACTATGATTAGTTACTTTCGTGACGTGTTGTCAAAAGTTAAGGCGGAAGTACAGAACACGCGTTGAGGCGGGAACGCGTTAACCGCTTTTCAAACTTTTTCGCTTTATAAGCGGCAAGTTACACACCACGCGTCATTTTGATCTCTCTTTTAATGTTTTTTAGGACTATTACTGTTTTAAAAAATCCACATTTTTATATTTTTTAATATTTTTCTTCCATTGTTGAAGAAATTTATTTCATTTTAGTTATTCTTATTCTACACAAAACAAAATACAACCCTGATCAGCTGCCGACGCGTCAAAAGTTGAAAGTTGCTGAACTTTTCGCGGCAGACGCGTTACAAACTACAATGTGTAACTGAAATGTGTAAATGAAAATACACTATTTCAACTTTTTTTGACAGGAGCCTATAACGCGATACCGCGTACAACGCGCGTTGTGTAATTCCACCTTTAATTTGTTTCTTTTGGCACAAAAATGTTTTTGAAAAAAGTACCATTATGTTAACAAAGTTAAAAAAGTAGTGGTGGTTCAGTACAATATCAAAATTTCGGTTTTCCATCCCTGATCTAGAGTGCAATAAAGTAATATTACAGTTTGGCATCTCTACATTACCAAATTTTCGAACGTATTTGCCATAACCTTATACCATCTAAACACATCATACATATTAAAATGACGTAAATATTTCGAGAAAATTATACTTTTCTAAACATTAAACTGGGGTATTGTTTACATTTAAGGTACAAAAGGATATTGAAAATATTTTTCAGAAAATAATACTTGATTATTATAAATATTAAAAAATCTGCAAATATAAATAAATCTAAACATTTGTGTATATTTAACTTTTATAGTGAATTCGTTTTCATCTGACAAAAAAAAATTAAAATTGTCAAGGGGTATGTTTAATACAAAATTATTGACAAAACACCATGAACATCATTCAAGTTAAAATGATTATAATAATTTAGGCTTTCAAAATGATTTATTAACTAATGCCTTAAGAAATTTGAAGCAGAATCAATAGTAATAGTGTAATTTTGTGGATTGGCTAACTTTTGTAATATGTAAGTTTGGAGATGTTCGTATGCAAATATCGTCACCTTAATATAAGTATGTAATATCTAACATTTACATTTTACTCGTAAAGTGAAAGAATCCTTATTAAAAGTGGATGGATAAAATGAAAGAAGCACAGATTAAAATATTTATTAAAATTTGGAAATAATGTTTTCTACTGAATTATATACATATGTACATATACAGTGTCTCTCATAAGTATTCGAATTTAATGTATTATGAAAACAGACATTTTTTTATAATAGATTTTGTGGGAAAAATAATAAAATAAATTTATTATGTTGTCCAGACAGTTCTTAAATTTTATATCACATTTTAAAAATTAAAAAAAAAAAAAATAATTTACTTAAACTAATTTAACTTTTTTAAAAAAGTATAAAAAATAGCTTCACAAAAGTATTCGAATTTTTTGTATAAATCATATTTAGATTAGCATTATGAAGTAAAAATAAATAATTAAAATGAAATTAATGTTTTGTATAGTAGCCTTTGTTTTTAAAAACAACATCCAAGCGTCGTGGGACCGTTTCTACCAATTTATGGAATAGTTCTGGCGTTATTATGTCCCATTCTTCATGCAAAGCAACCGTATGGTGGTTTTGGAGGATAATGAGTGATTTAAAAGTTGTTCTTGTAAATATAACCACAAATTTTCAATGGAGTTTAAGTCCAGACATTAACTCCATTGAAAATTAGCATGCAAATTCTGCTCTAAAATTGACAAGTGGACCTTGTAGTCTATAATTACAATAATAAATTTAAGCAGTCCAACACCGTGGACAGACACAGAACCCCAAAATATGGCTGAGCAACTTGGGTCCTTTACAGTTGGTTTTAAATTAGATAATTCCAAGGCATCTCCAAGCTTTCGCCATATCATTTGACGCCCATCTGAGCCAAAAATATTATATTTGTTCTAATCGTCGAAGATAACCTTCTTCCAGAATCCAATATTCTTACTTATGGGTCTATTTTCGGAGTCAAGACACTTAACATCGATTAACTTCGATATGAGCGGTTTCCACCTTGGTACTTGACCATGCAAATTATTGCTCCGTAGTATTTTGCGCACAATTTCGACACTAATTTTTATTCACAGGACTGTCCTGAGTTCGTTGTTAATTTTTGGAGCTGATAGATGATGGTTCCTACGGTATTTCCTCAGTATTTCTCTGTCGTCCTGTATTGACAGCAGTTTTGGACGACTTGATAATGGTAAATACTCGATGGAATTCTTTGTTCCATGCGTGTAATGACAAAATATATTGTCGATGGGAATAGATCAAACATTTCCTATATGTATTTAATTGATCGGCCTTGATTATACAGATATAAATTAATTTTTTAATTTGTATTGATCAACTCTTTTTCTTTGAACTTTTTAAACGCTTACACAGGAAGGATTTACAACATAATTATGCAAATTTCCAAAAAATATAATGTTAAATATTCCATATAACCACTACCTGAATAATGGGTTAATTAATGGGCAATATAACACGTGTTCAGGGATTCTAAAAAAGTTCTTAGAAAAAATTCGAATATTTTTGCGCAGTACCTGAAATTACCCTTTTTGGGTTTTTTCCATTTTCTTGGAAACCATTAATGAGTTTTTATTACTTTTTTCCTGTATTTTAAATAATATTATTATTTTAAAGTAGCATTATAAAATAACACAGTAATTCATAAAAAATAATAAATTCGAATATTTATGTGAGACACTGTACATATATACAGTGTCTCACATAAATATTCGAATTTATTATTTTTTATGAATTACTGTGTTATTTTATGATGCTACTTTAAAAATAATAAAATTTGTTAATGAAATTTTATTAATTTTTATTATTTTTACGAAATACAAGAAAAAAGTAATAAAAACTCATTACTGGTTTCCAAAAAATGGAAAAAACCCAAAAAGGGTCATTTCAGGTACTGCGCAAAAATATTCGAATTTTTTCTAAGAACTCTTTTAGAATACTTGAACACGTGTTATATTGCCCATTAATTAACCCATTATTCAGGTAGTGGTTATATGGAATATTTAACATTATATTTTTTGGAAATTTGCATAATTATGTTGTAAATCCTTCCTGTGTAAGCTCTTAAAATGTTCAAAGAAAAAGAGTTGATCAATTCAAATTAAAAAAATAATTTATATATGTATAGTCAAGGCCGATCAATTAAATACATATAGGAAATGTTTGATAGATTCCCATCGACAATATATTTTGTCATTCCACGCATGGAAAAAAGAATTCCATCAAGTATTTACCATTATCAAGTCGTCCAAAACTGCTGTCAATATAGGACGACATAGAGATACTGAGGAAATACCGAAGGAACCTTCATCTATCAGCTCCAAAAATTAACAACGAACTCAGGACAGTCCTGTGAATAAAAATTAGTGTCGAAATTGCGCGCAAAGTACTAGGGAGCAATAATATGCATGGTCATGTACCAAGGTGGAAACCGCTCATATCGAAGTTAATCGATGTTAAGTGTCTTGACTTGAAATAGACCCATAAGTAAGAATATTGGATTCTGGAAGGAGGTTATCATCGACGATGAGAACAAATATAATATTTTTGGCTCAGATGGTCGTCAAATGATATGGCGAAAGCTTGGAGATGCCTTGGAATAATCTAACTTAAAACCAACTGTAAAGGACCCAAGTTGCTCTGTCATATTTTGGGGTTCTGTGTCCGTCCAAGGTGTTGGACTGCTAACATTTATTATAGTAACCATAGACTAGAAGGTCCACTTGTTAATTTTAGACCAGAATTTGCATGCTAGTACCACCAAAATGGAGCTTTAACCCATTTTGGTGGTACTAGCCTGCAAATTCTGGTCTAAAATTGACAAGTGGACCTTCTAGTCTATGGTTACTATAATAAATGTTAGCAGTCCAACACCTTTTCAATGGAGTTAATGTCTGGACTTAAACTCCATTGAAAATTTGTATATATTTGCAAGAACAACTTTATAATCACTCATTATCCTCCAAACCACCATACGGTTGCTTTGCTTGAAGAATGGTACATAATAACGCCAGAACTATTCCATAAATTGGTAGAAACGGTCCCACGTCGCTTGGAAGTTGTTTTTAAAAACAACGGCTACTATACGATATATTAATTTCATTTTAATCATTTATGTTTGCTTCATAATGCTAATCTAAATATGATGTATACAAAAAATTCGAATACTTTTGTGAAACTATTTTTTGCACTTTTTGCTAAATTAGTTTAAGTAAATTATTTTTTTAACATTTTTTAAAATGTGATATATATACAGTGGACGTCCACTAGTACGAATTATATAGTTTCAGGCCCTTTCGTAATACCGAAAAATTCGTATTATTGAACAACACATTTTGTATGGTTAAATTCAAATAATACACATAAAATAGTGGATTTTATTTATTTTTGTTTTATTTTTCATGAAAAATTACATAACGGAACAAAATATAATAAATGTGTATTATTTTAAATAAATTTCTTGTACATAAACAGGCATAAAAGGGACATATTTACGTATATGAATTGTTGAAATGAGATATACATATGTAGAAGGTTTTAAATTTTAATGTTTTTAAAAAGATGTGTGCCAAAGACAATTTGCAATTTACATATGTGTTCTAAAATGTATTAAAATGTTCAGATTACATAAAACTTTTATTAGAAACTTGAATGGAATATACCACAATTCTCTAATTTATAATTTTCTCTTAAAAATTAAAATAGTTATCCTTAAACCCATTGTTTGGAATGTGGAGTCACACTACTTTCAAAATTAACAGTTCATACATACATAGGTATATAAATATCATTTTACTTATTAAAAAATCCATCATTTAACATCGATGTTTATTACATTGTAAAATGATTCTTACGGCTTTTTCAATAACAGTGCTTTTGAGGCTTCAATATTGTTCTCATCAGAGTTATTGTCGGGAACTAACAAAATACTTTCCTCATTGGCGTTATCATCCAATTTAATTTCTTCTCTTGGGTCATCAAAATTCCAATAAAATAAATTAATAACACTAAATAATTGTTGATTTGTAAATATACATGCAGTAAATTGTGTGTATAGGATTTTTAAAAATACAAAACACTATATATATATATATATATATATATATATAGTGGATATATATATATATATATATATATATAGTGGACGTCCAATAGTACGTATACTCTTTATTACGAATATCCAATAATACGAATGGCAAAATTGTTGCATTGTCTACTCTATAGTACGAATAAAGTCACAATTTTTCTGTTCGATAGTACGAATAACGCATTTTTTATGGGAATTTTGGTTTTATTTACGTATGAATGAAGTTTTTATTATGTTTTTATCTTATTATTTTGGTATCATTCACCTTAAGCTCAGTAATTTTGAAGTTTTTTTTGTATTTATTACAAGTGTTTTGTATTTTTAAAAATCCTATACACACAATTTACTGCATGTATATTTACAAATCAACAATTATTTAGTGTTATTAATTTATTTTATTGGAATTTTGATGACCCAAGAGAAGAAATTAAATTGGATGATAACGCCAATGAGGAAAGTATTTTGTTAGTTCCCGACAATAACTCTGATGAGAACAATATTGAAGCCTCAAAAGCGCTGTTATTGAAAAAGCCGTAAGAATCATTTTACAATGTAATAAACATCGATGTTAAATGATGGATTTTTAATAAGTAAAATGATATTTATATACCTATGTATGTATGAACTGTTAATTTTGAAAGTAGTGTGACTCCACATTCCAAACAATGGGTTTAAGGATAACTATTTTAATTTTTAAGAGAAAATTATAAATTAGAGAATTGTGGTATATTCCATTCAAGTTTCTAATAAAAGTTTTATGTAATCTGAACATTTTAATACATTTTAGAACACATATGTAAATTGCAAATTGTCTTTGGCACACATCTTTTTAAAAACATTAAAATTTAAAACCTTCTAC